AAAAAAAAAAAAAAAACAAAAAAAAAACCCCGCAACCCAAGGGATCCCCTGGCCCTCCTCAAACTCCTTGAAATTTTTTCAGGGCACTTTGTTCAAACTGACATTTTATTACATATTTCTCGGCTTGTTTTAACATCCGTCCCTACCCCAGATCAGGATCCAGGTGAGGACAGAGCCCAGCTCACTGCTGGGTCCACAGCACCGTGCGCGGAGCTGGCACACAGTAGGCACTCAATAAATGTTTGTGGAACAACCAAATGAATCTCTCCCTCGTTATATGAGCGTTGTGCCTAAGCTGTGACGCTCTGAGCTTGAGGGGAGGAAGGACCTGAGGTTAGGAACACTCATCTGGTGCCAGATGGGCCTGGGTTTGAATACGAGCTCTGCTGTTTGCCGCTTAACCTGGGTTTAACCCGGAGGGAAAGACATTGGACCCGGGGCTTTGAAGGATGCGTAGGAGTTTGGGATAAGCATTCAGGAGCTGGCGAGACTGATTCGCCGTAACGTTTCGTGAGCCACCGAGTAGATGAGGGAGAGAGAATCCTTCCTGGAAAAGCTGTGGTTTGTGAATAGGAGATTCATGGTCTAACCCATCCGGCAAGGGCTGGGACCCAGGTGTCCAGCTCCCGGATGCTGCTCCCCCAGGCGAGGGCATCGGGAGGTGCCTGGGAAAGATGCATTGGTTGTGGCAGGCCTTGTGGGACAGAGACGGTGACGGGCCTGCCTCTCACCTGGCCTGACCTCCCAGGGAGGACAGGGGACGCTGGGGCAGCAGGTCCATGACCCAGTTACAGACTGTTTGCCTTCCTTCCTCCGGGCCCAGCTGGGGTCACTGGTGACGTGGGCGCCCACCCCTGCCCACCTCCCTGGCACCTCTGCTGAGAGTGGACCTAGAGGGGGGGTGGGGCTCCAAGAAGGGGCGGAGCCCAGAGAAAGGGGAGGGGTTCAGAGAGAAAAGGGTTCTGGCGACCTGTCTGTCTGTCCCTGCGGGCTGACAGTCCGGCTGCCCCTTCCCAGCTACCTCTTATCACTGCCCCAGTAAGCGCGAGAATTTGGGTGGCGGCCACGGCCCAAGGTCAACACCATTGCCTTGGCCTCCTGCCACCCTGGCGTCCCCTCCACTGGGGGCAGCGACCTATGCCTCTACTGATCCCCACCCCCCCCCCCAACCCCGGCTTCTCTGGCCAGGCAGCCTGGGCTCTGGTCCCAGCTCTGCTGACCGGCTGTGTGACCCTGGGTGAGTCACCCCCCGTCTCTGGGTCCAGCGTGTCAGGTGGCATTCACGCACAGAAAAGCCAGGCTGAGGTTGGACAGACTCCGGCCTAGGATGGGCCCCCTCCATTCTCCCTCTGCCTCAGCAGGTCAGCCGGGGTGGGGGCAGGGGTGGGGGTGTGGGCAGCGGAAGAGAGCCCTGAGGTCCCGTCCCTGCCACAGCTGTCACGGTGACTCACGCTTTGGGGGACATCGGAGTGGGGAGCTGGGGTTGGCACAAGCCGAGCCCCGGCCCGCCCCACCCTGGCGAGGGCGGGAGGCTATTTTCAGAGCCTGGGTAATAGGTGAAATCTGAGGTCGTTTCCCTTCCCCACCCCCCCGCCGGCACCCCACGGCCAGAGGTGCCCAGGGCAGGGAGGGTGCACTGGGGTGGGGGTTACCGTGGGGTCCTTGGGCCTTTCCCTGAGCCCTGGAAGACTGTAAGCCACCAGAAGACTTGTAACAATGTCACGGGAGCTGGCGGGCCCAGGCGAGAGTGGAGACACACGGCCCAAGGTTTTCGTCCCTTTGTCTTCCTTTCTCCTGGAGGCCGAGACACCAGGTCTGGAAGGTTCTGCAGACTCAGTTTCCCTTGATGAAACACGGAGAGAGGCAGCCCCCCTACCCCCAGGGGAGGGGACTGGGCCTCCCACGGCCCCCGGTTGCGCTCCGGGGGACCCAGCGAGGGCCGCTGCTGTTGTCATGGGGAAGTCAGATGGGTGTAGGTTCCACGCCCCTCGTGACTAGGTCCCCTCTTAGGGCCTCAGTCTTCCCGTCTGTAAAGTGGGTGTTGGGGCCTCCCGGCAACACCAGTTAGGCATGACTTGGGGGGGGGTTGGGTGTTGAAGTCACAGGTCTGGCCAGGACTTAGAGCCTCCCCAGGCCTCAGCTTTTCCGTCTGTGGAATGGGTCTTACCGGCCTCCAGGGGCTCCTCTCTCCAGCTCTGGACCTCCTTGGACGGGCTCCCCTTGTCTCTTGTGTTCTGATCTCGTGCCTTCTTGGGCCTCCGCTTTCCCTACCCCTCCAGGGGGGTCTATACAGGAGCCCCTCCCCCTTCCCTCGGCCCCTGACGTCTAGGTTGCCCTAGTCTTGGCCCGTAGACCTCGGCCGGCCCTGTCTGTACCGCTGGTCTATAGGAACGATCCCTAGCCCTCATTTCTTAAATCTGCACCAGGGGCCAGTGGAGGCTGCCCTCAGACCTGCCCGCCCCGGTGTCAGCTTTCTTTGCTGATGGTAGACCTGAGAAACCAGCACCAAATGACATTCTCAGAGCCTGGCCTCTCCTGCAATCATTGAGTGCTCACTGTATGCCTGGCGTATGCTTGGCCCCGGTCTAGACACGGGAGCGCACGCTCTGGTTCCGGGGTTTGCAAACCCCAGGTCCCGGGGCCCGATGCCCGCCACCTCTCTTCCTAAATACCGTGTCATCAGAACGTGGTCACGCCCGTCATTTACGCGTCGCATCTACGGCTGATCTGGCACTAGGTGCAGAGTCGAGCAGGTGCAACAGAACGGAACGCTCGCCACCTTGTCCTTTAAAGCGCTTCCAGACTGGGGTTTGCCGACCCCCTTTCTGGTGGACAGAGAAGAGCTCCGTAACATCCTGTTCTCCTGACCTCAGTGTTCCCCATCTGTACAGTGGGTTCGCCCCCATCCGCCTCTGGGGGCCCTCCAGGGTTCAAGACGGCCCTCCATGAACTCCTGCCTTGCCCTGCGCCTCCCACATAGTCCAAGCCTCAGTTTCCCCCAGGAGGTTAGCAGGTCCGCGGTGGCTCCCTGCCCACACGCGCCTGGGTCCTCCTGGGGCCCCTAGACCTCAGTCCCCTGGGCTGGGCGGTGGGCCCCCGGTCCCCGGCGCCTCCTGACCTCTGGCCTCTCGTGCCTGCAGGATGAGTTCCACCCGTTCATCGAGGCGCTGCTGCCTCACGTCCGCGCCTTCGCCTACACCTGGTTCAACCTGCAGGCGCGGAAGCGCAAGTATTTCAAGAAGCACGAGAAGCGGATGTCGAAGGACGAGGAGCGCGCGGTGAAGGACGAGCTGCTGGGCGAGAAGGCCGAGGTGAAGCAGAAGTGGGCGTCCCGGCTGCTGGCCAAGCTGCGCAAAGACATCCGGCCCGAGTGCCGCGAGGACTTCGTGCTGGCCATCACCGGCAAGAAGGCGCCGGGCTGCGTGCTCTCCAACCCCGACCAGAAGGGCAAGATGCGCCGCATCGACTGCCTGCGCCAGGCCGACAAGGTGTGGCGGCTGGACCTGGTCATGGTGATTTTGTTTAAGGGGATCCCCCTGGAAAGTACTGATGGGGAGCGGCTCTACAAGTCGCCCCAGTGCTCGAACCCCGGCCTCTGCGTCCAGCCACATCACATTGGAGTCACAATCAAAGAACTGGATCTTTATCTGGCTTACTTTGTCCACACTCCAGGTAGGTCGCTTCCAACCCCCCTCCCCCCCCCCATTTTATTTTACTCGCTGGCATTTGTTTTGTGTACGGTTCCTCTTCTTTCCGAGGGATGCAGGCAGTAGGCCTCACGAGTGCGCCTGTCCTGCCCAGGGCTGCAGCGTGTCTGATGTTCCCTGTTCCCTTCTTCCGTTTCCCTCCACGCTCTCCATGCTCACTCTTTTGCTCCCTTGCCACGTTACCTGCGGGGTTGTCGGGCCGTCTCCGTCTTTGGAGGACTCATCTTCCCCAAAGGCGCTGCAGGTCTCAGGACTGGGGCCAGGCTGCCCCAGAATTATCCACCAGGGTGAGAGTTGGTGATGAACACTACTGCACACAGACAAAAATCACTCGTTGCTCAGATTTAAAATGAGTCAGAAGAGGCACCGGGAGCCAGGTGCTGGCTTGCCTGCGGCTTCCCCGCAAGTCCTGGGGAAAAGCGGGATTTGGCACAAGCCGGGTGGGCAGCGGTTCGGTGGAGAGAGGGGCGTGTAAAAGCCCCGGTTATGAGCCAGAATGAATAGAAAAGAGGAGAGAAGGCAGAGGTGGGCAGATTCTGGGGCCCAGATGCCCAGTCCGGAGCCGGAGCCGGAGCCGTTTGGGCTGGGATCGTTGGGATTTGACTGTCTCGGAGAGTAGGAAAGTCATTTGACTTCACAGAGAGTGAAAAGGCGCATGAGATTCCTTCCGCTCTCCCCTCCGAGGCGTGCCGGCTGAAGTGGGGAGACCCCAGGATGGATGCCCACGGCCCCCCCACCCCTCTGCTGGGAAGCGGAGAGGCAGTCCCCAGCACACAGGCGTGTCGGGGAGTGGCGTAGTTGCAGCAGTGGTCTGAAGGGAACAAACACTCCAAAAACTCTGTAAATTTCCCTTTTCCTTTTGTGTTCCAAGCAGTTCCACTTCTCCGCTTTGCTTTTCCAGTTTTGCCCAGCATTTTGGGTCGGGGTGGTTCAGTTCTCTTCCTCCGTTCCTTCCCCCCGCCCTTTCCCTTTTTATAATTTCTTTCCGCTTTTGTTTTCTTACAAATTGAAACAGAGATGGCTGGTTAATTTTTAGCCTCCACTCAGCTACGCCCAATTTACTGCCGCCTTTGAAACCTAAACGGGCGGCACTCTGTGATTAAGCAAGGCAGAAGTGTGTTTACATTATGCCCAACCAACTTGTAATGAGAGGGCTACCAAACCTTTTTCTGTGTGTGTGTGTGTGTGTGTGTGTGTGTGTGTGTGTGTGTGTGTGTGTTTTCCCTTTCCACTATTCCGGTATTTTTTCTCCCTTGTTTCCCTTCTTTCTGTCTTTATGCAAATGTAACAGAATGTGGCTTAACTTCAACTCTAGTGAGTGTTCTTTCCCGCAAGTGTGTGTGTGTGTTTGTGTGTGTGTGTGTGTGTGTGTCTTCCTTCCTGTTCATTCATAAAAAAGAAAAGCAACTCACTTTTCTGCTGTGGTCACTCCCTTGCCCGTTTGGGAAGTTGGGAGGAGTCGTATGACTTAATCCAGAAATGAAATTTTGGGGAACTTTTAGCATCGCGTCGGGAAAGTAACTTCCACTAGGATTAGCACTGAGGGTTTCTATGTTGGCGAACTCTGGGGATGAAAAGGTGGTATTTGAGGCCTCTCTCCTTACTCACACTCTCTCTCATTCTGAGAGGTGGCTTTGATAGTTTGTTGGAGGCAGTGGACATCCCCCTCCCACCGCCCCCACAGCCATTCCTCCCTCCGTGGATCTTTCTAGGCTTGCACTTGGCCTGGTGTGACTATCGTGACCCCTCATGAAGAATGACCAACTGCCAGTCCTCTCCTCTGTTCGCCCTTTTTCTTTCTGGAAATGAGACTGAAGAAACAAAATTTAAAGTTATCCTCTCATTCTCTGTCTCTACAGCAAGTCAGAGTGGGGAGGGTGTGTGCCTGGTAGTGCTGAAGGGAGCTTGGGGGAGGCTTGGAGCCTTGAGTTTGTGTCTGTCAGATAGATCCTCTGCAAGGGCATTCTGTACCTTCTGATTTTAGAACTAGGGCCGCTGAGATGGAAATCAATACTCACCTCTCTCTGGCTTCCTCCTACCCTGCTCTCTAGCTAGATCCCTGTAGCCGAGCTGTTTCCCTGGACTCTTTTATTTTAGGCCAAATTCTTTTTTAAAAAATTTTTTTTAACATTTATTTATTTTTGAGACAGAGAGCATGAACAGGGGAGGGTCAGAGAAAGAGGGAGACACAGAATCTGAAACAGGCTCCAGGCTCTGAGCTGTCAGCACAGAGCCCGACGCGGGGCTCGAACCCACGGACTGAAAGAGCATGACCTGAGCCGAAGTCGGCCGCTTAACCGACTGAGCCACCCAGGCGCCCCTATTTTAGGCCAAATTCTTGACGGCTGCCAGCATGAGGCTAAGGTAGGATGAAGTGTGTGTGAGGAAGGAGACCGTTTCTGGCCAGCCTCCTGGCTCCTGGACTAACCAGGCAGGTGTCTGTCGTGAGAAAGGAGGCATCCCCGCCCGCCCCCCAGCTATAATGAGATCATTTGCCCAGGAATATGAGTGAATTCATTGCCCCATCGAATGCAGCCGCAGCCATTTCTGTCCCGGCTGAGGTCCGGTTCCTTGATAAAAGCTGAGTGGAGAACTGGGGATATTTCAAAAGAATTCGTCTATACTCTAGCTCCCTGGACTCCAGATAGTTTCGACGAAGGTAGGATTTCTTGCTGGAATTGCTTTAATTCACATGTGCCTTACTGAAGGAGTAGGGGTGAATCGGTGCAGCACGGGCCTTGGGTAGATGGTCTCAAGATAGTGAGGTGCAGCCACAGCCTTCTCCCCAAGCCACCCCAGTTGGCTAGAAAATGTCTTCTTCTGGCCGAGCCCCCAAACAGCATGGATCTGACAGCACAGCCTTCTCCTGCCCATGCTCCCTCCCCCCCCCACCCCTGGACATGCTCAGCAGGGTGCCCCTTGCTCCTTCCTCCTGGTATAAACCAGGAGTAGGGGCTAGGGTGGCAAGGTCTCAGCCGAGAGTTGCTTTGGATTCTTAAAGTACGTTTCTTCCCCTAAGGCTGGGTTGAAGGGCGCAGTCTGGGCCGAGCTGGCGGTGCCGGGTTTGGTGACAAGTGAACTTGACACGGTGGTAAGCATGGGGGCGTTGCTTTACCTCCAAGTGCCATCATCATCCGTGGCCCTCTTGTGTTTTTGTTTTGCCCCACTTGAAGCTTCGAGAGGTGGCATGGCTGGGGAGGAAATAAAGGACGTGTGTGCGTGTGCGTGTCCGTGTGTGCGTGTCCGTGTGTGTGTGTGTGTGTGTGTGTGTGATGTCGGGAGCTCCACTCCCAGAGCGTGGGGTCCAAAAGACCGCCCAGGGTGTGTTACAGCCTCTTGAGCGTGGCCTTCCTGCTGGGAAGGAATCTTGCCATGCGTTTGTCCCATTCTGGAGGGGAGGTTGAGGCAGAGTGGGGTCAGAGAACCCGGCCATGGGGATGCGTTCCCGGTGATGTCCTTCCATCCAAAGAGGTTGCCCGAAGGCAGGTGGTTGGAGATATAGGGGAGCGTGGGTCTAGGAGGCCTCTGCTTGTGTGTGAGGAAGGATGGCTGAGCTGGTCCAGAAGTGCTGCTGGGCTATCTCCAGAGCTGCTTCTGCAGGGCTTTGAAGGTGATCTGGTATCTTCGGACCTGCCCTAACCTAGGCTTCGGTCCTAGAAAATGGAAAAATCTGGGGCGCCCGTCTGACTCAGCCTGTAGAGCATGTGACTCTTGATCTTGGGGTTGTGAATTTGAGCCCACAACGAGTGTAGAGATTCCTTAAAAGTTAAAAAAGAGTCTGAAAGTAATAAAAAGCTTCACCGAATGGAAATGTCAGCTTCTCCCTGTCGGATTCCTCTGACAGGCCCCAGTGGAAGCCCGTGAAGTCCAGATACTCGGGTGGTGATTCTTTTCTTTATCTCGGCTTGTTCACGATGGAGAAATTCACGTGTAGAAGGAGCCCCCATCGCCAATGCCGGTAGTTGCTGACTGACTTACGGTCAGGCTCCACTCACTCATCCATACCCCCCACTGCCCACCCACGCTGGGTTGTTTAGAAGAAAACCCAGGCATTGTAGCTTTTCATCTGTAAATATATCTGTGCATGTCTCTAAAGATGAGGAGTCTTGAAGAACGCAACCACACTATCACTATACCTAAAAAGAATCAGCCGTTTCTTCAGCATGGTCAGGCTAGTCAGCGTTCACATTTCCCTAATTATCTCCCAGTTTTGTTTGTCTGGGTCAGGATCAGAATCAAAATCAGAATCAGGTGCACACAGGGGCGCCTTGCTGGCTCCGTTGGTGGAGCATGGGACTCTTGATCTCCAGGTCGTGAGTTCAAGCCCCATGCTGGGCGTAGCGCTTACTTAAAAGAAAAAAAAGAAAGGAAGGAAGGAAGAAAATCAGGTGCACGCATTGCGACGGGTCGATATGTCTTTCAGACTCACAATCTCTAGGCGGTCCTCCTCCACCTTGGTTTCTTTTCTGGCAGTTTTTGGGTTGTTGCTGTTGAAGGAAGTGGGTCATTTGTCCTGTAGGGTTTCTCCATCTGGGCTCCGCAGACTGTGCTCCCCTGGGTTGTTTGTGCAACACTCTGAAAGGAGATTCTGCCTCCCTCCTCGCCTCCGGGTCCTGGGACGGCCGGACCTTACCTGTCACAGGAAACGGATTAGCACCTAAGGATTTGTCTAAGTGAACTTTTCTAAGCGCACAGTCACCCTTCTCAGGTGTAAGAGTTCCCTGGTTTTGCTCTCTGCGTCAGACCTCGGGGCTTTGCAGTGAGTCCTGGTTTTCAGGTCCGAGGGAGGACTCTTCCTCTGGGCCCTTCCATGGTGGTACAGGGCATCGTTCGGCCATGTTAGCCCTGCTAAGATACAGATGATGCCAGCGATGCCCCTAAGCCTTTGCTGGACCCTCGGCCCATCTGGTGGCTCTGGTGGCAGTGCATGGGAGAGACCACAGGAGCGCCAGCCGCCTTCCTGGG